TGCAAGTTTCAAAAAACTATATCCATGATCTGAAGTGCAAAAAGGAAGCTCACTCAAGTTTTATTTAAAAATGTGTGGTCTCAGACATAAAATTGATATGCCAATAAACCGTATGTGGGATTATTACAAAATAGCAAAAGAAAATAATTCTATAGAGTCTGAAAAACATATGCATGAGGTAGCAGAATACTGCATTATTGATGCTCTATGATGTCAACAGCTTATGGTTAAGTGTAATGTGATAAACGACAATAAAGAAGTTGCATCAATTGCTTATGTTTCTCTATTCGATGCCCATTATCGAGCAAATGGAATAAGGGTATATAATCTCTTAAGCACTGAAGTCTGGAAGCAGAATATACTAATTAGTATGATACCACGTAAAGATATCGAATCTAAAAAATATCCCGGTGTCTATGTATTTTCTCCGGTAAAAGGCCTCAATAATAAGCGTCCAGTTACAGGTTTGGATTTCGCATCATTATATCCATCTATTTTCATGACTTACAACTTTTCACCTGAAATGATAATATTAGAGGAAAAAACAGCTATTGAACTACAACAGAAAGGAATACGTCTCCATAAAATCGAATTCACATTTAATGGTCAAATATTACAAGCCTAGTTGGTATTACATGAAAACAAGATCGATAAAAAAGGTTTGTATCCATTAGTTCTGGAAAAACTTCTGGATAAGTGTAATAAAATGAAGTTCGATCTTGCTATTCTAGATAAGACAAAGGAGTATATGGAATTGGTTATTAGAAAAATGAAAGAAAGGAATTTATCATTAACAGATGCTATAGATAACATCTTGGATAACGCAGAAAATAAAGAAGAACGTTCTGCTAAGATTGAAATCTTAATTCCTTTTAGTAAAGATTATAACATTTTTATAACAGAATATGAATCTGTATATTTTGACTATGCCTGTTTAGATTTGAAACAAAAGGCAGTAAAAGTTTATATGAATTCATTTTATAGTGAGACAGGTAATAGTCTATCCTGTTCTTTTTACGCCATATTGCTAGAGCTGTTACTTTAACAGGTCAGTTCAATATTAAGCTTGTTGCAGAATACATACTAAAAAAAGGATATGGAATTCAATATGGCGATACTAATTCATTGTATCTTACCTGTCCTGAAGATAATTATAAGAAATGTGATCTAGCTTATAGAAACAATTCAATTTCAACACTAGAGTATTGGACCAAAATGGTTAATATTAGCATAGAAGTAATGGAGAAATTACGCAATGAAGTGAATACCTATCTTAAGATAAAAAGTAGATTAACTTATCTCAAAATAGCTTATGAGGAGGTATTATTTCCTGTTGTTTTCACTGGTAAAAAGAAATATTTTGAAATTCCTCATGAGAAAAAAGTAAACTTTAAGCCAAAAAAGTTATTTATTAAAGAGATCGATACTGTGAAGCAGTAACAATCAAAACTCTTTATAATTATTGGTGAACGAATTATGTGGAAAGCTATGGAAGTCGAGGATAACCAATCACTCCATAAAATTGTTGAAGATGTTCTCAGAGATGCCGTAACAAATTCTAAACAATGGGAGTTTGACCAGTTCATCCAAACTGATACGTGGAAACCCAATATTCAAAACTTAACTGTTTAGCAGTTCATAGAGCGAATAAGAAAAACCTATAAAGATAAGATTCCTAAACCGGGTGAGCATTTCAGTTATATAATACCCAAAACTGATATAGATTTTGATTTATCTGGTAAAAAGTTAAATCTAACTAAGAGCGATTAAATAGAATTTGTTGATGTAGCAAAGGAACTCAAAAAGGATATAGACTTATCTATATTATCTCCAAAATAAAATTATTGGCCTTTGTGCTAGATTTATCAACTATGATGATAGATACCAACTACCGCTCTCTGATAAGATCTGGCAACTCAAAGACTCAGATGAGAAATATAAGCAAATTGACGAGTATTCTCAAAAAAAAGCCAAGAAATGGCTTGAGGAATATATAGATGACTTGAGTGGTATTAGTCCAAAAATGATGCTTAATCGTGGATATGCTTACAAACATGCCTACAAGAATGCAATCAAAATCACACAATCTATATTACATCAGAAGATAGGTAATACTTATGAGATATTTCATGGGGAATGGCTTAATTTTAAGGATTTTAAGGCAACTAATACTGTTGAGAGATTATGGAAAAAGTTTGTGGAATACGCCAGAGCATATACCGAGAATGATAATCTCTCAATAAGTACTGAGACAAAAAAATCTATATGCTCCAACTTTACAAAATGCCTAAATGTACTTATCCCATTTATCGAGAAATATGATACCTTTTTCCATCATTTAGTATATCATATGCGATATAAAGAACACATATTCATCCCAGATAAGATTGGACGACCTGAAATGATAAGAAAAATGAGATAGTTGTCGAGCAACCTATTATACCCAATATAACAAAAGCCGATCGACTAGCACTTAACAATTTTCTAAATATATGGAAGAGGGCAGTCAGTTCAATATAAATATATCTTTATTTTTTTTTTTTTTTCGGTATTAAGATGAGGTCTTGCCTCGTATCTTTTATTAGATGTTAAATTTTTGCCTTATATGGCTACAAATAATCTTAAGAATACTGGCTTAGACAATTTTATCTATGACCTAAACCTACCAGAGTATGCTATGTTCCCACTACGTATTGGGTTATATCTGGATTTGATGTTCAAACTATATCTAGTTACCCACCGTATTCACCCTATGTCTTACCGTCAAACCTTGGTAATTCCCAAATTGGTTCATTCGGGTAATTGGTCCTTAATTGCCTCCCAATTTGGTATGCCTGTTATTTGAAGTATTTCTAAACTAGTATACTCCTTCTAATAGATGGCCTCTCGTCCACATTTCTCAAGCCAGATACCTGCTGCCACCGCTAGTTCTACATGAGAAGCATTGGTATCACATGTTGGAAAGGGGACTTATCACGGGTTTGCACCGCTCAATTTGTCGGCTTGCATTCCTTCATGCAACTTATGTTACATAAATGCCCCAAACCTCTCACTTGTATCCCCAGGTATACTAGCCTCGTATCTCAAGCCAGGTCCCTGCTGCTGCCACCCGGTTTGTCATTCCCAGGTCTTAACGTTTCCTAAGTTATAAATATATCTTTATATTAGTGATACTTATACAATATTAATAATATTTTTTTGTATATAAATAATACTCAAGTTCAAATATAATGTGTTAATAATCATCTCCATAATTTCTCACGCCTGAAGCGTATCATGACATCTCCTACAAACTATCCAAGGATATTCGAGATTTAAAGATGCTGATTGATTATAGTTTTTCTTTTATGAGCATTTACCTGATAAGTTAAATATCGTTTTATTAAATCTCCAATGCTTTCATTTTCATTCTTTGCCACATAGGCTTTATAGATACCATCTACAATAATTTTTATTGCATTTATATCATATATATTAGAAGGTTCTGGTTCAAGAGTGATGATATCTAATTTCTTAAATTTATAACCACCACAAAATCTCATTCCAACCACTATAAAGGATTGTATAACAATGCAATCTGCATATAATGGTGATGATACTTCTTTACAACTGCAACAAATATTAGGTATGGTTAAAAAGGTATTATATTTTCGTACATAAAAAATATCGAAGTTTAAATAGATAGTTTCTAATATCTCGTCCACGTATCCCATAACTAATCACTTTTCCTATTTATTCCCATGTATGTCTCATGAATCACATAACCGCAATAATCAATAGAGTAAGAAAAATATATGCTAATAGCGGTAATATCAAAATGCTTGCTACAGCAGGAAGAGGCAAAGCCTTGGGACCAGGCCTCATCTGAGAATTTGATTCAATTAAAGCAGACATATTATCCTTACTAATTTCGCTAATACTAGTTTCATTACTTATCTTGGAGTTGGCCTCGGTATCATTTTTTGATAGTTCAGTAATCTCATCATTAGTATATATCAATATATTACCATCAGTTTTTTCGGTTTGGTCCATATTTTTTCCACGTATAAAATATTTACTGAGATTAGTACTATCCAAAGATATATTATCAAACTTAGAAATATTTTTTTCATCATTCCCACCAACTATGGGTTTCAATATAGTCTCCGATTTCAGACACTCAAGCTTATTAACTTTCGATGAGACATAGTCTTGAAGCTTCGCCTCTTCCAATTCGCTCTTTATATTTTCTAATTCAGCTATTTTGGATTTGAGAGACACGATCTCAGTTTCTTTTTTCGATGAGTCACTTTGAATCAAAATCACATCCTTCTGGGCTGAAGATAACTTACCTTCCAATATCTTGATTATAGACTCGAGTGATTTGATTTTCTTGGATTTTATATCATTCTCAGCTTTGGACTTCGCAAGAGAAATGTCTTTATTAGCATTTTCAATCTGTAAATGCCTAGCTTCATCAATGAGTTCGAGATCATGAGTATGTAATTTCTGGATTATAGCATTAGATCTACCTAGTTTCTGACTCTATTTTTTTCTCTTCTGATCCCACTATTTTCTTTCCTGATCCCACTTCTTATTTTGTTTTAATTGATCAGCTCGCAATGTTTTATTGCAAGCATTTAATTCGGATATAATTTTTGTACCATAACGCAATTCTCTATTGATATCTATAATATTAGTAAAATTTGCTTTGTTAAAAAATTAAAAATTTTGAAAGCAATAAGAATATTTGATATATTTGATATGTTTTATTTTTTCAAAAAATTAGGAACTCCTTTCTTATTCTATATATTTTCTCAATATATTATATTTTTCTGATATATTACATTTTTCTGATATATTACATTTTTCTGATATATTACATTTTTCTGATATATTTGATTTTTTCTATTATTTTTTATATTTTAATATGTTGTATTTTCTAAATAAAAATAGCTACTGTGTAGTTGCTTCCAGCAATATGGTTAGACCACGTATAAAATTTGGCACACCTTTATTTTCTTTAGCAGATTATGATTATATTATGCAATGCCGTGATATGGAACCAAGAAATAAAATTTTAAAGGATTTATTAAAAAAATATAGAACATCGTCAAAACAGATTTATCAAATCTAGAGAGGAGAAGAAGCTAATAGGGTTGCTTGGGATCAGCCTATACCTCAAGTATATAATAACGATACTAATATATCAAATTCTACTACAGATGTTCTTTATATAGAATCTCCATCTTTAGATAGAGATAAAGTTCCATTGCTATGTAATAATATTTCAGAAAAATCAAGTAAACAAACAAAAACAAAGAGATCCAAATCTATTCGAAAATCTAACTTGCCTATTATCACCAAAGACTTAACAGAAAAAATAGATGAAAAGCCTACATATTCTATTGATACACATGCTTGTTTTAGACGTGCTGTTGAAGAGAATAGGAAAATTTTATCAAATTCAGGATATAAAATTGATAAATTATAAACTCTAAAGTTTGTCTATTCTACTTTCTATTTTCTTTATTAAGTAATTCAATGTAGCAATGAACGAGAGCATTAAGATTAGTGATAATTTTAGTTGCATTATACATTTCTTCTTCATACCTCTCACAATTCACGTATTTTTTTTAAAGTTGAATTATCAGAATCTAGGCTAAAACCCACAGGAGCATGCCATTCCTCTAATGGTTCATTGTTATCCTTATCCCTATCTGTCTTCTGTGAACTTTGATCGGATATTAGAAACTTATCACCCTGAGTTGTAGTAGCGCAATTTACTTCAAGCTTGTTCTTAACCTTGATCATAGTTACAGGGATGATGTGATCTTTTCCATTAAAAGGAATTTTTAACTCATCTTTGTCCCAATCCATAGCACTTTTGTATTTTTTAAGGTGTGGATTTGGAAATAATAATATTGGTTTAGGAGTTCTCACAATTATATAATCTTCACGTATGGTAAAACCTGGAGGAAATATTATTGGTAAATTACGGGTGATACCAATAGATTCTGTTGGAATAGTGGCGGCTCCACTGAGATCATATATTACTAATTTATCAATCTTTTCATCTACACGTTTAACAATATCTTCTGATATAATTGCAGGTTCAGCTCCACTATCAATTACTATTGCTGGAATTTTTAAATACTTGATTTTAACTGGTATAGTTGCAATACTTGTATTGGGTTCTTCCTTTTTTACAAAATCAATTTCCATAGGATCATCTAACGTCTCCTCTTCCCTATCCAATTTAGGAATTTTTAGAACCAGCTCTCGATAGTTTATAAAATCTGGAATAGTTAAGTTTTTATTTTCAGGTTTAAGTTTTTCCAACTGGTGTAGAAGTAAAACCTTTTCAAGCATATCTAACAAAATTCTCCGAATATTCTGTTCAAGAATAGTTGATTTATTTTGGAACTTACTAGAAGTGGAGGTCTCTTTCTGGTTCTCTTTGCAGGGCTTGGATGGATTTCCATCTCGTTCCTCTTTTTTGATTTTGGGTTGCTTTGATTTCTTTCTAGATGGTGATTTTGTAGAGTTGCTCTTATGCTTTACTTTTTTTTTACTTTAATAATATGAACCTTAACATCACTTTCAGATTCAGATTTAACTAAGGATTCTCCAGAATCAGATTCAGATTCAGAGCCAGAATCAGATTCATTATTAAAAGTGTTAGAATCTAAACCTGATTCAGAACTTGAATCTACAGTAGCGATATTGACCTTACCTTTCTTTTTGAATTTATTTTTAGACCTGCTCTTTTTTTTATTTTTAGGACAATTGCAAGAATTACGTCCAGTTTTATTGCAAATAGAACATCTGTGATGTGACTTCACTGCTTTTTTAACAGCTTTGGCTACATGTAATTTTAATTACTTTTGTGTGAGATTGACAAGCTTTTCATCAGAGTCAACTTCAACTTTCTTTATTACTAGTTTTGGAGGCAAATCGGGCTTGAAGATAGAAACAAATTCTGAAACCCCCAGTAATCCATTGTACAAATCTATCCATTAATATTTCTTGCATTTTTGATATGTGCCAGGAGGTTGTGGTCCATAATAAGGTTGAGGTGTCTGCAATAGTTATGATAGCTGTATTTGCTGAGGAGCTGATTGTGAAGAAACAGATTGGGATTGTGTAGATGTTATTAATTTAGATGACAATTTATAACTAGACTGGGGTATTTTACTAACTAATCCTAATTTTTTTTCTGCTCTTCACATTTCAATTCGCTCTAAAATTTCAAAAAGATCAGCTAATAGTTGCTCAGTACCAATGCATTTCGCATCATCCTTCAAGTTTGGAGACAAACCTCTTAGAAATTGTCTCTTAATCTGTTGCTCATCAAGATTAAGCATTTTTCCATATTTTAAGAGTTTTAAGTAAAAGTCTCCTATAGGTTCACCCCCCTGAGCTAATGATCCATAAACTAAA